AGAAGCAGTCTCGAAGTAAGTCTTATTGTTCAGAACCTATCTTCATGTACATATTATTACAGTTAATACAATGGGTTCCCATGCTTCTTGAAAGTACTTGAATTTCAGACATATGGATTCAAGGCCTGGAAAGTACTTGAAAACAAACAAAGGTCCTTGAAAGTGCTTGAATTAAATTTGAAATAAATTTTGTTTATGCAGGGATTCAAGTTTTCCATCGCTACGACGGATTTCCGTCAATTGGAAAAAAAATTATGGGAAAAGAAACATGTAGCGCATTGTTGTTGTTGTTCTGCCAGCACACCAAAAATCATTCCCGATGTTGTGCTGAATTCTGCACCCCTGCCAGATTGTGCACCCCCTAGTTGAAGTCACTACCTGATTGCCTAATCCCAAACCCACCCCTAATCCTAACCCCTCCCCCACACCTACTCCTAAACCTTCCAATACTAGAGGGTGCATCATTTGGCTGGGTGCAAATTTCGGCACTACACCGGCCACGGCTGCAGCTTTTCAGTGACAACATAAGTGACGCCGCTCGCATCATTCACAGTCGGGTTATTAGCAGAGAACACAGAGCAGGACAGTGTTGCCAACTTCTTTCAATAGAAAGTAGCTAAAGCCAGTATGAAAAGTCGCTAAATGTCGCCAGATGACGTCATACGCTAATTAGCATATTCATGACGTCATCGCGTCTGTTGCCTTTTACATTTGTTTGTCTCTCTGTGCTCACATACTGTATTTTAATGCAGCCAAATTATCAATAAAACTGTTTTCATTTATATATATTACTGTTTCTGTTGTCAGACAACAGAATAAATATGAAATAGTGACTGAAATGCGGCCCTTTAAGACTACATAACCAGCTCTCCCTTCCAAGACGTTAATCTGCACCAAAAATCCTGCTTTATATTTGAGCCATCGTCTGATGTAATGAAACGAACATAAGAAAAGACAAGACACAGACAATTCCTGTGCTGTGATTTCGGCTGTATTTGCATGTAAAATTAGAGAAGCAACATAATATCTATTTTAACTGAAGGCGCTGCTCCTCTCAGCCGCTCGCTGTACAGAGCAGACGCAAAGAGAGAGGTGTGTGCGCGCTGACCTCGTGCCGTTGCGTCAGTACCAGCGATCACAGAGACTCGCTAAGGTTTGTCCAAGAAGTTGCTAGTCGCTTTTTTGGAAAAAAAAGTCGCCAGGGGGTCTGAAAAGTCACTAAATCTAGCGACAAAGTCACTAAATTGGCAACACTGGAGCAGGACTTGAATTTCGGCCCGGGATTGCGGCTATTAATTACGGCTATTAATTACAATTGTACTCATTCCCGCAGGTTCCGTGCTTCTAACGCGATGACAGATGACGGAACGTATCATTTGCACGTGCTTTTGAGTCTTGAGAACTCGCTCGCACGCTCTCATTTTCTGTGCGCCCACAGATCGCGATAAGGAGAGTGACAGCTTTTAATAATAGTTAAGGGAGTTTGCAAATGTGATATTGATTCAATACAACAGTTCAGTAAACAAGTACTGCCTGATTTCTTTAACGAAAATTGTTCCAAATATAGTAACAGCTCAGCCACTTGGCATCTCTAAAAGCAAACACAGCTGAGTTTCATTCATTCAATGAAAGTGCGTTTTTGAACGAATCTAGTGAGTCAGTGATTCATGATTACCCAGTGATTAAAATCAGTGACTTGTCGCCACCTACTGGCGGATTTAGTTTAATTTTTAGCGTATAATTTCAGTTATTTAAATCATTTAATATATCTGTATTCAAAATGTTATATTTAAAACATTAATCTCCACATAAATGTATGAATTTAATTGCACTCATGCCACCTCTGAGCCTCATTAAACGTCTGAAAATGTACCTGTGCCACCTCTGTACAAATACATTTTTTATTAATACTAGTTTCATATGATTGGTAAGCTTATTTGGCTTATTCTACTTCTTATTATATTGTTTTAAATAGAAATTTTAAAAAGCTTATAAACGTACATTTTTGAATTTGACAGATGAAAAAGATGCCATTACAAACGTAAAAAGAAAATACCCCTGTTAGTCACTTTGAGTCAAAAGTCACCTCGTATTAAGAAGGCTAATTTTTGATCAGAATTTTTATTTTTTAAATTAGGAGGACAAGCGCTCCTAATTACAAGAAGAAAAACATGCTTTTAAACTGTGTGTGTGACAGGTATGGCTGTGGAATGGGGTTTGGCTGAGGAAAAATTTTCAGTCAAAAGATTTTTTTTAACCCGTTTATGGCGCTATTTCAAAAATGGTCCTATATGTTCTGTCAAAGACAGAACGAAACGGCACTAATGATTGGGGGTGGAGATGGGGTAGCCGAAAAAAACTTAGCGTGTGTGTTGATGCGCAGCCTAGAGCCTTGGGGACAGTTTTCTTAAGCCCGCTCCCGCTGAATTTCTGACCATTACCGCCCACTCCCACAACGTGTGTGTCCCGCTCCCGCAAACATTCTAATATTGTATATTATTTTCACACATCAGTGAGCCGCTATCAACATGCGGGGTATTGAAATTGCATTTGAATGAGCGCTCGCTTTTCACTTTCGATTTCGCGATCATGCGCACTCTGTGTAAAGGGAGCACATCTTACAGTGTGTGCATAATTATTAGGCACGTTGATATTCTGATCATATTTTTTTCCAAGCACATTTTACCAATTCCAAACCACATCAATCTTAATAACTACTATTATTTTTGTATTTAATCATTTAGAA